TCACAGAACATGCTTGGAGACAGGAATTGGTGACTTGCTCCTGGAGAAGTGAGGTGCAGCCTGGCAGGAGGGCAAGTGAGGCGGAGAGGGAGATGTTGAGAGAGAAGTTATGCTGCAGTCATCAGAGAAAAATTAGCATTATGGACAGAATCCTCTGAATCCATTGGTGAATTTGCATCAGATTTCCAAGCGACATTAAAGAACTGAAAGATGCCTTTGCACAATACAGAACAGTTTACATACTACAATTCTGTTATGGGCAGAACTTCTTTTAAAAATGGCCAAGTCCTACCTGGCATTAATACATGAATTAATAGTGTCAAATAAAAAGAATCATTATGATTATATCTATGAATAATTAAGAAAGACAATTTTAGAGACTTAAAAGAAGCATCGATGTGTTCAAGCCTTCCTACCAAAAACTAATTTTGGTATTTGCTTGGACACACTGAATCTTTCATTACATTTCCAGCAGAGAGAGTAAGAGGGTAATCTCAAAAGACTGGAAAAACTTGGTGGTCCACTGGCAGCCTGAATATTCAGTATTAGGATAAACTATTAATTATGAGTAGCAGCAGTTCTCAGAGAGTTAATTTTATTTATAGTGTTTATATGAGCTATATAAAAATCTCAGTGCCTTTGTTTTTATGTTAGTAGTGACAATTGACATGTTCTGTTCTCTTTATCCTCTTCTAGGAGTTTATCTTACCTTTAATATGCCTGTTGCCACATAGAATACATATTTTGGACAAAATCATCCCAACTTTCCGATCTTCAAACTTATATTGAGATGCCTCTGATTTTAGGTGGCTTTATGTTCATTACATTTTGACATCATAGTAAAACTGTTCTTATATGTCCTTCTTGTGAACTGTGAAACAGCTAAAATATAGCCAGATATCCAAGGGATGGATTTTTAGTTTTGGTTTGTCAAATAAAATGACTGGAGTTGATTCTTGTACATATCCAGATTTTCCCAGATTTTCATGTTTTGGGAAGCTTGGAAAAAAGACAGTACTTTAATGTCATTGTTTTAGTGGGGTAAAAAAAAACCCAAACCCAAACTTGGGCAAATATGGTTTTTCAAATCTATTCAAATTGTGCATGTGAAAATACACAGAACAATAGACTATTTGAACTGCCATCATTTGGTGTAAATCATCAGACGTTTTAGTGAAAGACATTTTAGTAAGAAGCTCCTTTGTATCAGTCAGTTTTATCACATCCTGGTCTGGATCGTCAGCTCTGGGACACTTTTTTGCTGTAACACAGTGGGAAGCTTTGGTGAACCCAGGCTAAATGGACTAAACAAATACCTGTCCCCTGACGTAGGTGTAGCTGGAAGCAACGTGAATACGCCTCTGAAGATTTAAACAGCTCAGCGAGGCAGCTCAGTGAGAAGAACAAGTGTGGCTGGATGAGTGGGGGTCTGGTTTGTTTTGTTTTGTTGGAGAGCACACCAACCTAAGCTGCTTTCAGCTGCTTGTTTCGATTCCTGTGCCACCTCCCGAGTTGTGCCAGTCTGACTGCTTGCGTCACTGGGAGAAGAATAACTAGGGATTGATTTCAGTTTAAAATAACCCTTTTTTCCCCTGATGCTTCTGAAAAGAAGTTTGTCAAACTGCAGCCTAAAGGATTTTATTGGCCTGATAAGAAAGGCAGGACTTGGCGTGCCTGTGCAGCCCAGCAAGCCAGCAAGGAGGAAGGTGGCAGCGAGCGTTGCCGTGGGAGGACAAGTTCCTTTAAGCACATTTTGTACTGGAAAGATAGACTTGGATTTGTAAGCAGTGAGGCTGCTGCAGGGGTATTCTCCCTGCAATCACTGAGAGACGACTCGTGCACGTTTGTCTTAAACCTGATTACGTGCAATGAAATACCTGCCTCTTGTCATCCATTCCTCTCCATAGAGGGAACAGTTCCCCAAACACTGATTAGCCATTCCTGAGGGAAGGTTCCCTGTCACATTGGTGGGTATTTAATAATCACCCAGAAAGCCTTGTTTTGGGAATGGAGCCATAAGAATATACTAGCCTTGCCAGTTCATTTGGAAATAAAATACTTTTATTTGACAGAGCATTGAGATGGGATCTGCTGTTTTCCCTGGTCTCAAGAGGCCCACAGACTTTTGGCAGGGGGATGTCATGGCAGAGGAGATGACAATAAGAACATTACTGAACCTGTTCATTTAAATCTCTACGGTGATTTAATAACACTGATGTAAACTGAAGTTCTACAGTGAAAGACCAAAGAGTTCACTGAACCCCTGCTGAGACGATGGCATAAACATCTCAACAGTTTGCTTGTTTTAGATGACACTGAGTCAAGACCCTTAGTATTGTCATCCTACTGGCTTGTAAATTCCAGATAGTACAAAAGAAGAGAGTTAACTCTTCCATTTTTGTGTACTGTGGCAAATCCTAAATAACAATGCAAAAGTATTTGTTATTTTAAGAACAACCATGTTTTCCTAATCCTTTCTTAACATCATCTCTGTTTTGCAATCAACCTTTTGTGTTATGTATCTAGTCTGTAACACAGGTGTTGCTTTATGAATTGCCAACAAACCTTGTGCTCTTAACTCCACTGCTCATGCATTCTCACTGTAATTTCTGCTCAGTGCTCATACATAAAGAGCAAGTCACTGAAATCTTTAAACTCTTGCCCACTCTCTAAAGCATCTATTTGCCAATGAGAAAAAAAAATTAAAATAATTTCTTAACTTCAGAATAGCAAACCTATTTCAGGATAGAATAAAAAAGCTTTTTGTCTAGTATTGGTGACCAGTAGGTCATCCATATAAAAAAATATAAAAATATAGTAGTGATAGTGGAAGGATCAGATACTGATATCTGGTTTATTTCTGACAAGTAGTGCAAAAAAAGTCTCACCCCTGCAATGCAGAATGCAGCAAGGATGCTCAGGCTGCAAACTAACAGAGACAAAAAATGAACCAGATATACTATTTTCAGGATTAAGATTTTCTATCAGCCTCCAGGAATGGATTCATGAAAGAAAAATTGTTCTGTGTGAGACCAAAAGATGCAACACAGTCTGATAAATGAACAATTGTGCTTAATAACAAAATGGCTCTTCAGCTGCCAGCTGTTTCACCAGACAATTTAGTCAGAGGCCAGATGGCCTAAGAGACACACAGTGAAAAGTAAATTCATAGGATGACTCCACATAAGGAAAAACTCGTAATTCATATATGTTTGAAATGTCAAAGATTCAATTAATGGAATTAGTATGTAATGCCTAGTTCAGTTTGCCTGTTGGAAGCTGTGCTCAGGCTTGTTCTCACAGCTCTGCAAGGGGGAGCAGTGGACTCCTGGCTTAGAGCTCTGACTCACTCGTGGCTAATTGCCTTTCCACCTCCCTCCCTGATAACTGGTTTTGCCCACAATACCAGTCTGTGTCACTTACTGCTCTGCACCAGGTCATTTTTTTTGCCTTTCATTTGGCACTGTGGAGTGATAGGAAGAGAGAAGACCTAAAACACAAGTACTTGTTGACTTTTGGGAGGTGTAGGAGAGGTAAGGTTTACTCTTGTCTCATGGAAGTTGCATCTAAACTTAGATGGGAGAACGATATTAGATTTTATATCTAGCAGAAAAGTTTCCAAAGCCTGATGTATTTTTAAAAATAAACTATAATGCAGTATTTTCAAATTTCAGGTCAATTTTTTTTTCTATCAAAAACTGGATGACTTACCACCACTGCAAGTTAAATTGTTTTTGGAAAACTCTAACTCCATCTTCTGACTGCTCAGGGAAATGCAGTGACTAGTTCGTAGTAGACTTCTTAGCTCACAGAATGGCTTGGATCGGAAGGGATCTTAAAGATGATTTAATTCACAAAATAAATATTTTCAATATCAAGGCTTTGAATATTTGGTTGAAGCTTTATTGCTTTTAGTCATTGCCTTTGCTAGCTGCTACTGATGTTGATTTCTACTGACAATGCAGCTTTTCTTGCAGATTTCTGAGAAGGAATTCTGGACTTTGCTTCCCTTTCAATACCCTCAACACTGTGTTTGAATTCCCTCCCGATTTGTGGAAAAAGGTTTTGATGACACAACGTCACTTCAAATAGCAATGATTTTTCATTGGTTTTCCACATAATTTTTTCTCACTTAGTGTCTGTGACCTCTTAATTCTTTCAGGTTTGATACCTGCATTGCCAGTTAGTAAATTTGTGTGTTTTTTTTCTCTTTTAACACAAAGCTCTTTATAAATGAGCTTTGATAAAAACTAAATTGAGAGCTACAGTCATGCATCCCCCTTGCTCTTTGTGTTTGTATTTTAAACCCAGCGTTGCAACCAGAAGTTTAATGCTCTGCACTCATCATAAATGACAACTCATTTTTGTTAATGCAATAAAATGAGAAAATTAATTTATGCTGTCCAATACCATGTTGTACAATGCATGGATATCCACATAGCTAGAGCAAAAAGCGAATCAGTAATTTATTTGATTGCCAATAGCCAAACCAGTAAGAAATTTATTTTTTCTGAATTTCTTTTCTCAACTTCTGATGAAAAAAATGTTCAAGGCCATGAACAGAGCAACTTTCCCACACATTTTAGTCTCATTTTTCATGCTCACATCTAATCCCTTCATTTCCCAGAACTGAGACAGATTTAAGGGGAGCTTCTCCAGGTCCTAAGTTAAAATCTCAGTCATGCAAGGAGCCGTGTGTGTGGAGAAGCCAATGGAGATCTGCAGATGACAAACATCCACTGATGTGCTGCACTCATTGATCGTTTTTCCATGTTTTCTGAGCCAGTGTTTCACAGAGCAGTGGACCAATGGGAAAAGGGCAAATAATGTCACATGTGAGGATAAGGGTGACACGAGGAGGTGGATTGCTCTCACTGTAGGACTGCACCACACCTGGCATCGCTTACAGTATCACAAACGTGGAAAAATAAAGGGAAAGCCAGAGTCAGTTGCAAATTGCTCCTTGGTATTATTTGCCCAATTTCACGTGTCCCTTCTAGGTCTTCTGGAGGATGGGAAATTGGCTCAGACTGGTGTAACCACAGCAGCAGCCCCAGCTGGAACGCTGAGCACTGACAAGAGGAACAACTGCAGTTCTCAGTGTGCCAACCCCATGGTCCACAGCACGGGAGCCACGACACAGAGGCAGAATGGCTTCAGAACCACAGAGGTAAGAGTATGATCATGTCCCCTGATCCTCAGCACCAGCTGCAACCAGGTCTAACTCACTTTTGTGTCAATCTTCCTCGCTGCAGTGAAACTGTACAAGAGATAAGAGAAAATGGTGCTGGGCTGCACCACAGCCACAGAATGGTTGAGCCAAACACCTCTGACAGCGCCTGAATGGCCACAGGATTGATGTTTTTTCAATCAGAGTAACACACACATTGTTACAGTAAAAAAAGCCCCCATGCTCATTCCTTTCCTACTCAGTCCAGCTGTGGCATGTATTGTGCAAACTGTTTAGATTAATTATCTGAAAGGGAACATGCTTTTCCTTAACTGCTGTTCTGCTTAAATTATGTGAGCTGCATAAACCCTGGTTCCCTCAAAGCTGGACATGAAGCCTGAAAAAGTCAATGGGAGTCTTTTCAATAACTTCAGTAGGTTTTATGTTATAACTTTATGTTGTACACACTGTAGAAGAGTCATTCAGTGTAACAATAATGTAGGAACACCCAAGAATTTGGGACTATACCAAAGACTAACCTTCTCCTGTTGCACCTGCCTACATGCCTGCCTCTCACAGGTTTCCACTTGCTCTGTTTGTGTAGCAGCTGCTGAGCTGCTGCAGATTGAACAAATCCAGAAACTCTGCTTGGTTTGCTGCTTCCCTGGTCTCTCATATGAGAAAGTATTAGGTAAAAATTTAGGAAAGGGAGACCTCCTTGCTTTGTGGGTCATCTGCAGATGTAGCAGATATAGTCCTTTACGTGGTCCTTGGCGCTTCTCAGGTGGAATCTCAACTTCTACTTCATGAAGCGGTTGCTGCACTGCTGTTGCTGCTTCCCTTGCTTTTTCAGGGGAGTCTTCTCCTAATGAAATATCACATAATTTCACATCTGGGGGGAGGGAGACTGTCTGTAAAATTTTGGAAATCATGGAATGTGCAGGCATGGGTGAATGCTTATACTCCTGTGGGAGTCTGTTCAAGGTACATTGCACTCCCTTCCAGGTGAGCACAAATTTTGCTTTGAGGTGTTCCCAGAGAGGAATCATAAATAACTTGTCTTTTACATCTAGGGTTGCCATCCATGCACAGGGAGCTCCCTGCATTTGAGTTACCAGTTCTGCTAAATCTGGCACAGTGGTAGCTAAAGGTGTGATATTGGCTTTCCATCTTCTGCAGACAAGAGTGAGCTGCCACTGACCCTTTCTCTTTTTCACTGTTCCCCTGGGGATACAAATGCTGTCATTATCTGTACAGTGCTGGGTGGATTGGCAGCCACATAAGCACCATTTCTACCTTTTCTTCCAATTTTTGCTTTATCTCCTTTTCTTCCTGTAAGCATTTCTGCAGCTGCTCAATTTCCAAAGATAGTAACAATTCAGTTGCTTTCCCGCCTCCTATTTCCTCTCTCAGACCTTATTTCTCTCTACTAAGGCTCTTCTACCTAATTTCTCCAATAATTGTCTTTCCCTGTGCTCTGCTGAAGCAAGTAGAATCCTAAAATGATCATTCTCATTTATAAGCTTGTTTCTTTGAGTTCCCAATCTTTCTTTTATTTCCCTCTCAAAGCCCAGTGATGACTTTAATACTTCATTTTCTGATTTTGAACCAGCGTATTCTATGTAGGAAATTTTTGGGAAAGAAGGGACTCTTTGATTTCCTTTTGTGTGATAAGTGAGTCCCCAATACTGCACAAATAATTCCTTTGTCTTTCTAGAATTTTTGGGCCCATTCCTTGTCTGCCTGGGAAGGAGTACATTTATACTTCTGTAACTGTTAATCCATGGCAGTCCTGCTGACTACACCAATTTTTCTGTCACATAAAAATTTAGGAAAGTGAGACCCCTTTTGCTTTCTGCATTGTCTGCAGATGTAGTGGGCTTGGGGGCAGTCAGGCCTTCACTTTCTTAATCAGTATTATCTGTCTGTCCAAGCCCCCATGAGACCCTCACAGATAATTTTTTAGAGTAACCATTTTGGCACTGTAAGTCTGGTAAGGGACCAGAGGCACAGTGTGGTCACAATTGCAACCTCAGATGCACAAATGGCATAAGCTCCACTGTAAGTCTGGGTGAATTCAAGAAGACTACAGATTCACAAACTGTGCAGTTTATTGATTTGGTTGTGACAGAATAAGGTCCACAAATTGTGGTGGCTAAATGCACTCATATCAGAAAGTACCTGCAATAGTATCACCATGGAATAAAGCTTACCTGACAGGTGTCCCTGAGGGGGGCTAGAGGGATAGCCTGTTAACTATTCCAGGATACAAAGGTAGAGTCTCCTAAGTCATACTTGTATTTCTTTCTTAAAGGCTGGTGAAAAAAAAAAAGAGTTTCAGTTTATGTAACCTCATGATTAGATGGAGTTTGAGCGACTTTAATCATACATGTAAAGCATGTACATCATTACCATATGCAGGGAATGAAAAGTAATATGCATTTCGAAGTTCATGATGCATAATTCAGCTTTTTGGTCACCATTTGGGACATTCCTTTGGTTTAGTTCTCATTAGCTGCATTGTTTTAAACTGAGCGTGACTCCAACACCTCTACACCATCCTTTGTTTCGTGCCTCTCTCAGGCGTGAAACAACCTCCCTCTCCTTCTCCTCAGGCATGCACGCAGTTTGTTTCTGGTGAATTACTGGCACTCCTCCTCACTGAGCTTTGTCTCTTGACGTTTTTCCACAGAAAGTGCTTCAACACAGCATATGATGGAACCATTAGACCCTCCCCATATGAGGTGGTCCCACGTCAGGAGTCACACCACTGAGAGAGGCAAATTGAAACCCAAAGGGTCTGAGCAAATGAAAAAGAAATTTAGATTGAAATTCACCTTGTATTTGCCAACACACAACACAACAGTACACATATTTTTATTTTATACCTTCATTGTATTATCCTTTGTATCGCTGTACTACAAAGATATTCCCTGGTGACATGGATACTGCACCTCCAGATGTGTAGGGACACATTCCGCAGCAGCATGATATCTAGAGCCATGGGTTTGCTGCAAATGAGAAACACAAATGGCTGTCATAGCCACTAGCCCACAGAGAAAAATTAATTGGTGAGGTTGCATATGGTTGAACAGAACTACATAATTATTAATTCAATTTGAAAAAGGCTTGGCTACAATTGAGAATTACAGAGTGTACCCTGCATACTGCTGGAGAAAATGGCTTGCCTAATTTTGTAAGTGATTGGAAAATAACTTCTGCATTGGACTTAGTAGGAAGTATGGGCAAATTCCCACAACATATTAACAATGAGAGTGTTGACTGTGGGACTGTTCAGTGAAGTGTGGGTTCCTGCCCTGAGGCCCTATGACTTTGAAGATTCCCTCCCACATTTTTTAGCTGAGGTACATTCAATAACATACACCTGCACTGTTGCAGCTCAGTGTAAAGAAAATTCGTGATGATAAATAAGGCATTTACATTATCTACACATCTAATGCAGGTGCATAAGAAAGGAAGGTAAATTGTCTAAACTTCTTGTACTCAAAATAGAAGTATATATTCCTTCAGAAAAAGTGTAGTATCTGATTTAGGCTCCAGCTCTGGTTTGGCTCCATGAATCTCTGTTTCTCCACTGAAGGAAGCCTAAGATGAGCAAGTTTCCAATTGGAACACCTAAAGTTTAGGTGCCTAGAGATGAGAATGTGACTATCCCCCCCAATTCAAAATGTGCCCATTTCATTTATCTGAATATTCACACTGACTACAGTTTTTCTTTTATCTCTACATGCTCTACAATCCAGTGCAATGCAGCACACGGTGCTCTCAGAGACTTGGGTTGTGCCATCGGCCTGTGGGCAAGTAGGGGATAAAAAAGAACCTCTCTGTTTCTTTCTCCTGCATCAAGCTCTAAAGCAGCCTCCTGCCTTACCCCTCGGTTATGTGACAATTTGTGTCACAATTTGTGTGTCGAAAGGGAAGGAGTTTGACACAGGCTGCATCTGGTAAACTTTGTATCCTCTCACGACAATAATGTCAGAACAACTTGAAAGTAAGAGATGATGATGACAATGATGATGATGATGAGAGGAATCTTTATGCCACTGAAGGCAATCTAATGGTCAGGCACACCAAAAGCAAGGGTTTTATCCAGATTATGTCCCTGACTGACAATTGCCTGCTTTGATTTTCATTATATGTGTAGTCTTTGGAGAGTCCTTGCATAAACAGTAGCATTGAGGCAGTAGACACCAAAAGAGCAGGTGCATTCAGGCTGCAGTAATGTGAAGTAATACACAACAGCAAATAAGCTCCAAGTGTTGCTCTGCAAATATATATGTACCTTCAACTCATGTCAGTGAAAGTTTATCAGACATTATTTGTTCTTGCCATGTAAATAATGCCTAATTTCTCTGGCATTCCTTACACTGACAAATAGTTTCATGGACTACTGGAAATGCAATAATCAGTCAGTCCCATCTAATTCACCCCTGTGTCTCTGTCAGCCCAGCTGTGAGTGCAATTTGCTAGATCTATCCAGTTTACTGTGCATATAATGTGTTGCTCATGGCAACAAGCAGATAGACCAGGAGATGGAGAAGAATAGATTTAAATTAGGGATGCACTTGCATGCCTCAAATAGATTGACTTTTTGAATATTAGACATTATCTGATGAAGCTCTGAAAGGTATATATATTGTGCTTGGGTCTTATATGCAGGCAGAAGTAAATGATATTTTAAAACTGTATTTTCACTCAAGAAACATAAAATCAGTTATAGAAAATTCTGTCTCAGGCTGGTGATGCACAGCTCCCAGTGACATCAAAAGGAACATCTAATTTTCACTTCTGGACTGGAATTGGATTTATTTGCTCTGCTTTTAGAGTACACACATGCAGGGATCATCATTATAGTCAAGAGGCTTAATCCAAAGTCTACTGATGTCCACAGCCTGTACAGCAATTATAAAACTTGTGTCCATGCTGAATGAGAAAGTTGCTCTGCGTCACAGTTCCATGAGAAGGATGCTGGAGGCATTCTGTTTATGAAGTAGAACTGTTTTCATATAGGAGGTAATTGTCAATGACTCTGCTGTCAGTGTGGAATTCACTGTACTGTTTAAATCTCTCACAGAGTAAATGGGACACACAGAAAATGTCCACAAAAGAAGTCGCCATTAATGTTACAAAAAGCATCAGACAAAGTGACAGAAGGAAAACAAAGAATTGTGCCAATTAACAAAGAAAATTGCAGGTAAGGACAGACTTCACAATGCTTTGCTGCACTTTATATGTCATCAGTCGCTGAAGACATGAAGATCTCCAGACGTTCCAGGTTGAATACAGCAGCTGCTGCTGAGTGCCTTCAGAAGCAGGTCTTGTGGAAACCAGCTGCCAGACACTGTAGGATCTTCAGATGTCATTTGTCTGAAGCAGTGGCACTACACAGACATACACCAAAATTCATGCCATTTGTTTTTCACTAACTTCTGTGTTATCCCTTGGGTACGTCCTGTTCTGCATTGCTATTATGATCAGGCTGGATAATAAGAGGTACAACTCATCACAATTAAAACCAAGATATGAATAAATGAATCTGCATTTTTAGTCATAGAGATTTTTGAGTGTGCACATTCAAACCCATGGAGTTCTTTTAAAGCACTCACTTTCAAAAAGCTCAAATCCAGACTTCTCAGAAAGTGGCACATAGGTGACTTCCACTAAATCTCTTTTCAACTATATATATTAGTTATATATAGTTAAGTCATACAGTAACCTTATTATATATTAAACTTTCAATTACCTAGTTTTAATTTATTGTCTGTATTTACATAATATTGATCTTAAAACAATAATTTTTGTGTTGACCAGCCTTACTTGAAGTTCTTAGTCTTAGCTGGCAAGTAGAGCTATGGCTATTTAGTTTTTATAGATGGCCCTTGAATTATGTTTGGCCCAGATGGACTTAGAAAAAAGTTGTCCTTAACATTACATGAAAATAACCATAATTCTTAAAGAAATATTGTAATGTCAGCTCAAAAAATTAACTTTATTTTATAAGATATAATTAATTTGCTGTTCAGAAGTTATTTAATTGCATTGTAAGCATCCTGTATCACAGTGCTCCATGATTAACACAAATATACATCTAAAAGGAATATGAACATTCTGGCCAGGAATTAATTCAACATATTACTTCTCAATATAGAAATAATAATATATATTCTCAGTGAGTTTACATGTTAATAAGACAAAAGAGGTAAATTTGCCTCCCCCACAGACATATATATATATATATATATGTGAGTATCCTTAGAGGGCCATTTATAAGAACTATTTAAAAGTTGTTCATGACAAACATATGACATGGGGAAGAAAATCCATGTATGAATGGTAAAAAGTCCTTTTCATGAGCAAACAGGTATAAACAGAATTCTGGGACTGAACCCTAATTTACTGCATATTAGGATCATTTTAATGGCTCGCTGTTAAGTGTGTACTTATTACTTTCTGTTTAGTACAAGTCTATGTAACTGGAATTGCTTATTAATTATGCCAACAAAAAGGCAAACTGAAATCCAGAGTAAGTGCAAGACTTTTGGAGACCATAGCATATTTTTAAAGGATTAGGTAGAAGGTAGAGATAGTGCAGTATAAACCTGCATGACACAAGAAAACTACAGAAAGTGAATAATGATGCTGATGCATTAAAGGGTAAGAGGGATTTTGAAGGAACACAAGAGGGAAGGTTCATTGTGTAAGAAGCTCTTCCAGAGACTGTTGCCTTGGGTGGATGCCACATTACAGTGAGTAGATGCAAGAACAAAGGAGTCCTAGCAGGGAGGTTATTTACTAGCTAAGAAAGGATTTTGTGATGATGGGCTGACCAGATGTGTCAGATGGCTTGGGTCACACAACAAAGGCAAGCATGTGATGCTGCACAGCATATTGGTATGAAACAAACCTAGGTCATACCAGCCATCAGGGAGGCAGTTTTTGGGTCTTGCATTTAGGGCATGAGATGTGACAGGATGGCTAGCAGGAGATGGCCTTGGTACATGGTTATCTGGGCAATACTGCAGACCTTGTTTATGCTGACCACATCCCCCATCGGCTGTGGAGTGGTGAAGGCTGGCTGCCCTGGACTGCTCATGATAACTTTCCTGAGCTACTCCAAGATCCCATGAACCTGTTTATATCCTGAAACTTAAATTTAGGACATTCCATGACTACATCCAACTTCTGTGGTGCAAGCCACATTTAGTTACAAGTAATTTTATACACTCTCCTGATGTATTACATTACTGTTCTTATTCATTAGGCTGTAACTGAAAAGAGATTGCATTTTTTCCCAGGTGGCTTTTTAGTTCTTAATGTGCAAGCTTCCAATGACCTTAATAAAACTAAGAGTAGGTTCTAGAAATGTGTATTTATGTTTACTGTCCTTCTACCAGAGATAACCATCAGTAGAAACAAGCAATTTGTTTGTAAAATAATAAAAAATTCCAATCTGTGTAGCTGGGGTGACAGGATCTAATCTATACTGCCTAAGACAATTTAAAGTCCTAAAAATAGATTCCTGTGCTGGTTTTAGTGGAAGAAGCAAGCTCAAAGAATCATCTGGACATTTTCAATCTCGGTGCCCTTCTTGGGAGTGAAGAGTCTTATTTACAGGGTCTGCTCTTTGAGTAGTAAATCAATTATCTTCCAAATATAAAAGGCTCAAATACATAAAATAAAGTAACCATGTTTAAAGACACAGACTTTCAGATGAAGGACCTGTGGGCATTTCTATCTTCTTATATGACAGGATTTTTGAGATGTAATTTTCTTCCAAAAGGCATTATGCCACGTAATTTGTTCAAAGTCCCTTGGCTGCACATGAAGATCTCTGCAGGTACATTGAAAAAACACACTTCCTGCTGAAATAATTTGCCAAAAGCTGGTAAGTTTTTATGAGTTATCTGAATTCAGTTTTCAAACAGAAAGGAACTTTGCAATGTTTCCATAATTCTTACACAATATATACACAGGATTTTCCTCTGATGTTTGTATACCTGTGAAATACACCTTGTTCCACTATGTGAGAAATGGAATCACTCGAAAGTGAACGTTTCCATTGGCTAATGAAGAGAAAGGATTTACAGTTACCAGTTCATCATTAGGCAAATTAATCTTCTCAAAGACTCAGTGCAATTTCATCTTGCATTATTCCTTCATCTTCTCCCTTATGCTTCCTCAGTGTATTTCAGAATTTCATCATTACTTTAGGACATTGACTGGAAGACACACAATTTTACTGTGTGACTGAAATGATTTTGTACTGAAAAAATAGAAAACCATGACTATTGTGCAAGCAATATGTGAGTACTGGGTTAAACATCCATTCCTGTTAGTTAAATGACTGAGATTGCATAAAAAAAAAGAAAGCAAGTATTTTTGACCTTTCTAGTATGTTCACATACATAGATATTCATATGTGCATGTCTCTGCATGTGTACATTGTAATGTCTGCAGTGTGTACTTCTGCAGTTCAGGCACTTTTTTTGAGAACCTTTAATTTTTGTTTTAAACTCTGATGCTCAAGTGTGAAATATTTTAATGTTTGAACTGAAATCTGTTTTACATGCCTTATGAAAAGAGTGAGTTATATAATTTGTGCACAGAAATGGTATTTGAAAAAAGCAGGTTTAGGTTATTTTGCAAATAATGAATAATATGTCTAAATTCAAACTAGACTAATGGGAAAATTTTTGTACCCTCATTTTAGCTGCAAATTATTGAAGATTGACCTTGAACTTGGAAATGAAAATAAAGAAAATTTTTAAAGTGTCTGTTTATTACTTCACACATTTCACATTTCCGCGTTTGTGATTAATTTATCCTCAAGAACTGAGATCAAAGACTGTAAAGGTATAATCAATGTTTCTCACCTCTTCAGGGAATCAGAATATTTCTGTATCTGATGTCCTCATGTTGTAGCTCATGGACTGTGTGGTCATATCAAAGAAGCTAAAATACATGTATTCCCCATAAGAAATCAGTGTATTTGCCAAGGAGGGCTTGTAAGGTCAAAATGCAGTCGCACCTTTGCAATTACAGATTGAGAGTTTGTGGTTGCTGTCAGAGCTAAAGTGGAAGACACTGGGAATCTGAGACATTTTCTCTAGTAAGATACCATAAGGCAACTATGAGGCAAACAGAATACTTAACTAAAAAAATGTTCTTTACTCCTGCCTGAACCGGAAAGCACAGGGTAGAAAAGCAGCTACACTGTTGTTTGACCTGCACCATAAAAATAAACTCACAACTTTTACCCAGAGCACTTTTTATTCTTTCCAAAATTGCAGTAAATTTGCATGATATTTTTCCTTAGTGCCAGAAAGGCTCTTGCTGAAACCATCCCTTTCCTAATTGCCTATGCCCCGGGTGTTGCCTGACAAGTAGCTTGTTTCTTTGATTCCTGGCCAGGATGCTGACACAGGAACTGGTTTGTTTCCTGTGGAAAAGGAAGAATAGTATCAAAGGAATGGCTTTCAGATGTGCCAAAAGAAAAAGGATCTGGGGACATGAGCAAGCCTCAGTCAGGCATGTAAGAGCCCATGGGAACCCTGCAAATGGGAGAATTCCAGGGTCAGACTGTTCCTTAGAAGCAGAGCCCTTGGTGCAAGAAGCGACTGGCAGGATGGGGGGAGGGAATTGCTACAAGTGAGGCTCCCAAAGCTTAGGTTTAATGGGTTCTGTTTCTCTCTGCCTCTGGGGAACATGTGTTGAGGTGGCATTTCTAAAATTAGTGCTTGGGAGGTGCTACATGAGCTACAGCAATGTGTACACAGTGACTCCACAGTAAGTTTTCATTTCACAGCGAGGCAAATATTTTGAAGAACTTGATACACTTCAATATTTCAAAACTAAACCTTCAGTGTCCTCAGGCCGAGCATCCCCTATTGCACTGGTGCCTTCCAAGGTGCCTCCTTTCCAGATTGTCTCAGTGAAGCATGTGAAAAAGGTACCAGCAACAAATAAGATGTGGTGGTCTCACAATCAGGGATGCAAGATCTCATTCTGTCCTGTTATCACCTTCACATTTTCATGCCCTCCAGTCTGATCTTCAGATTTTTTTTCAGGTAGTCTATGCATAATATCCAGAGTTAAAGGCTGTTCTCTTGCCCATCAGTAAACTAATGGCAAAGTTGGATCATTAATATAAGATAAAAAGTTAGCTGGTTCACTGGAAAAGACATTTGTTGAGATATGCCACTTAAAATAAAATGCAAGGTTATTTGCAACAGCTCCTTGCATGGAAAAGCTCAGCAAACACTAAAATCTAGGAAATACTGTAATCTTACAGATAGAAGGATGTTTATAAGCAAGAAGGAAGAAGGCAGAATACAACAGCTTTTCTTTGCTTTCTAGAGGATTGAACATCATTTAAGTCCTGAGTGCAAAAAACTAGGATGCTGCTATAAATCTGTCCTTTCAAAAGTGTTGAAAACAAGTAGTTTGAGGTTGCTGTGGATGCCTGCTTGGGGAAAAATTAGGACTGAGGAAGAAAGAAAGAGTGGTGTCACAGGCCAGGACCAAGCCATGCTGCCAGTTGTATTACTTAGACTTTCCTGCACACTCTTGCATTATAATCAGTATTACTCAGCTTTAATTTAATTTCCATTAACCTTTGCAAAACACCCACATGTTTGGATATAGGGAAATATGTCTTGGGTCTTACTGCGTGGACAGAAAGAACACTTTGCTCACAGCAAAAAAAGGCATCATAGCTAAGTAGCAGCCTATTCTTTATCAGCTATGAGGAGCTGTCAAATACAAAAGGCTTGAAAATATTTATAGTCATCTGTATCTGGTTTTACCAGGAAATTAAGCCATTGGGCTTGTTCATGCTAGGCAGATAGAACTTTCCAGGTCACGCTTAGTAAGTGGCTTAATGTTCAGTTTGCCTGACTAAAGGGCTGATTTGAACCTAAAATGTTGGGTGCTGTGGCTTGTCCATATCTCTAAAATAGACCTTCTGCAGTGCAGTGCCATCTCCTCTGCCTTCAAATTATTCCCCCTCCAAAAAGTTTTTCCACTTCATTCAGACTACTAATATGACATAAATTTTGCAGCACAATATTAGACACATTATTATATTACTGAGAGCATAATGTTACCAATTCAGACTGGAGCTGGTGAAGCTAAAGTTCATGATCACAGCTGCCAAGCTCAGGAGCAAAGTTAGTTCTCATTAATTCACTGAGCAGCCATAACTCCACCCAAGTAGTATCATCACCTCTGGGAACTGCTGGGATGTAGGGAGCTCAGTATTAATGGACACACATAGTGTTCTATGCAAATGATATTCATTATTCATGTTTCCAATTCAAAAGCATCTTTCAGATGATCTAACATGTTCATCTGAATAATCATTGTGGAGGCAACCATTTTACACCTACTCCTGCAGTGCAGTAGTTTACTACTCTAGCTGGGATTTCATACCTAATAAGGATTTTCTGTCCCTTGGTCGTGCCTGATATCGTGGCAATCTTTTGACAATTTAGAAGATTATTTAACAAATACAATAGAATAACTTCCAGAATATATACTGGGCACATTTTCCACCAGGAAATTGCTGCCATCGTTGCTGTTTATCTGTCTGCATGCTGTCTTTTCTTGCAACATATTAATTACTTGCATCCGTGGTAAGAAAGTAGCTTCTTATGTCTGCATTATACAGATATTTTTCCAGTTCTGTCTAATAAGCTTTCACTGGTATTTCATGTTACAAATGCATCCTTTATCACTGGCTGAATCTACGCTGCCAAATCTCTTAGCTCCAATACTTTCTCCTGGATCCCAGACCATCCGTGCTGCACACGTGGCACATGTGCGTGCTCACTCCTCGTGAACACAGGGACAAAACAACCAGTTCCCTCTACAATAAAACCAGGCTGGTCCAGGAGCTGCGTCCTGTCTCTGTCCCTCTGCCCTACAGAGACCGGTACCACCCCTTCGGCACCCCAGCAGACCATGCACATGGATGCCTTTGCATTATGGCCCAGGGTATGTCTCACAGAGCAGCGGCAGAGTGTTATAAACAGCTTCTGGGAGCTGCAGAGCAATCCTTTCATACTCTGGGGAAGGTGTTTTCACACATCGTGAAAGCCATTTCCTATCAGCTCCTCCTTTCCAGCTTCCTGGGGAACACCACCTAGGCAGCCTAACAGCCCAGCTTTTATGTCTCCATCCTCCTCCTTCTCCAGGCAGAATGATACTGCACACATTCCTCCTTTCTCCCCTGGCTCAGCCCTCCTAACACCTACCACGTTCACCCCTTTCACTGCAATGCACCACTCTTTCCACGTTTCTGACCATCTACATGCCAGGCTGCTGTCCCCTCACTTACACCCGGCACTGTGCTCAAGTTACAAGTACTACCCCACTGCATCAGAAGTTACTGTCAGGGTAAATGTGGTTGTTACCTTGGGTCTTTATTGCAGGCTCGGGCTGTTCACAAAAATGCCACAGGGCTCAGCAGGGCTGTCTGCATTGGTGGCTGTACTGAAGTGTAGCTGCCAGACCTCCAGGACAATCAGCACAATTTACAGGGGCTAAATAAACACGTTACAATACACACAGCCAAGAATTTATTATTAGTCTAATAAAAATGCTAACAGTGCAATGAAGTAATTACTATCAGTCTGGTTATGCAATTTACTAATACAGATAGTTATTGTGTCTATCTAGTTATTACGTCTAATATGGCCAGTGTTTACAGCCCGTTCCCAGGAAGGAGACCCACTGCTCAGCACCCATCCCACTGTCTGGGGCTGTCCTCATCCCTCTTGGCTTCTCTGTGCACTTGGGTGAATGCCATTGATCTTCTCCAAGGAGGAACAGGGGAGCCTGGGAGAACCACAATATTAACATTCATAGTTTTCTACCTTGTTTTCTCCATGAGGATTATGACTGATGCTGGAGGGATTCTTCCTCCTCACTGTGTGTCTGTCTGGAGTAATTTTTATGTTTTCCAACACTTCTGCTGACTTGCTCCTCCCTCCTTGGTTTGCAATTTCATGATTTGTCTGAATTTTCCATATATAGCATATTTTACTTATTTGGGAGGTTCATTGTTCTCTTTTTTTATCCCTAAAACAGGTTTAATCCAAGCCACAGGGTTGTTCTCCTCTAGTGACTGATAACTGACCATGTGTGACTTGTGCTTATAGTCCTGACACCTTTAATATCAGTCTGCACTTAACACCCTGAAGGTCTCTTCTCTCATCCTGCTACAATCCCATTTTCCTTCAACCACTATAAAGCTATAGCCTTCTGATCACCTACTGAATGCTTTATCAGCACAACCTAGTTGCTCACACACCCTTGCTCTGTCACTTTGCAACTAGAACAACCCAACAGAAGACATACATTCAGACACAGACAGACACAGGCAAAATACTCCATGTCCAGAAGTTGTGGTAATATCACTGGCAAGTCATCAACTTACAAACACACTCAGTGCACTTAAGAAGGAACAATCTGGATTATGGCTTCAAAAACTTCCATCACGATCATACTTCTATTGCAATAAATCAGCAGTCTTAAGGATGATGAGGTTTCAGAGCACTGTCCTCTGCCATGGGCTTCTGCCAGTCACCTCCATCAACATTTCCCCCATGCAAGAATTTGGTATCCAGCCCTGGTCATCTCAGATGGCCCTAGCACGTCTTGGTCCCACAAGCAATACCATTATCCTGTGCCACAAATCTTCTGTGAACTGCAGTGAAACTGGCAAGAATACAGTCCTAGTGAGTCCTGGTTTCATGTCTCTCAAGACCATATCCTGTCTGCTGTTCTACTGGTCAGGACTGATGTCTCCAGCTCTTTTAGGGAGACTCTGCTTAAGAGTAGGAGTCAGAGTTTAGACAGACCAGAGATAACATCCAAGTTTTTTTGACAGGAACGTGAACAGTAGATACAGCAGTGGCAGAAGCACAAAAAAGCAGTTGCAATAGCAAGTGCAATGGCAGCAGCATTGGGCAACATGTTCTTGCATTAAGGGCATGCCAGTGGGGGGAGTGGACAGACAATTTGGAGGACTCTGCTGGAGCAGTCACTTGCCATACACGGGCAGGAAAGTGCCATACACAGCACACCAGAAAAGGGTAGGGGTGAGCTGATGGAAAGCCTGCTGGTACAAACCAAGCAAGCTCCATGGCTATGCAGTGTGGATGCAGCTTGCCTTCTCTAGAAGGGATTTTGAAGCATTTTGAAGATAAGCTACAGTGGGGTTGATGCCTTCTGAAGTATAGGTGCCAGCTGCCCATGATTGAACCTGGATCTGGACAGAATTTGGACAAAGGAGAGTTCATATGATACTCCCCACATGAAAGGCAAAGTTTTTCATTTATCTTTACCCCTATAAATTTCTAAAGTCTGAGATGCTTTTAATTGTATACCTGGGAAAATCAATAATTTAATCCTTCCAGAACTGGCCATGTGTTACCTCTTTTTAATCAAAGTGCACAATTCACATAATTTGGTTTAGGAGGACATTTTGATGACAGATCCAGATATCTCTGAAGTAGTCCTGTTTATTTATAAGCAGCATACAAAGTCAGCTTGCAAGCAAAGGGAGATAATTTCTCTAATGTCTCCAAGCACCTCTGTGACCAACAATTGCTGAAAAGTTTTGTCTCAGCTCTTTCTCCCAGCCATGCCAGCACTGTTTCTCTGACTCAACTCCCTTCAAGTTAAGCATATCTCACAATGGAAGCAAGTGATCCACACTCACTGTGTCCTCCTTGGAAGATCCTGCAGTGATTCAAAATTTGTCTTTTTCATATATCAGAGAACCTTCCACTGGTGGTTTAAGCCCAGGATTTCCATTGCAAAGCAATGAGAAGTTACCCTAGAGATGGTCAGTCACCCTCTGTCAGATGGGGTGTCAATCATTCAAAACCAAGGAACGGTAACTTCTCAAATGCATTTGGTTACTTGCAATTATTCCTTCAGATTACCAGAGAAATCTTCCCTACTGTCTCAAGCACACTGTGTCCTGCAAGTCCACTGTCATAGGTATTAATAACCGAAGGTTTTTATTTTGCCTGCTTTTGAGGCAGCTGGAAGGCTGCTCTCCAAGAGAAGGTACTGCTGGTTCTTATCGATCACATTTATCATCAGTTCATGGACCTCCCCATTTCTACTTTGTTAACACAAAGACTTTAAAATGAGTGTGTACTGCACATTCTCATTAATCCCTTTATATAGGCAATGTGATATAAGATGACTTAACTGTGGGCAAAAATCAGTGGGCTTGTATTTTTTCCCAAGGTTTTGTTTATATAGTTTTATGCAATATAAAAATTAATTTTATATAGTTTTCTACAATAGAAAAATTACTTTTGTGTGTTCACAAGTGAAAACAGCCTCTTTCTTCATTAAGTCAACATGCATTATGCTGCTGCTGTTCTGCCACAATAGTCCATAATCCAGAAGAAACCATGCTGCTTTACCACAAATTAGTATGAAAGTAAAAAGCTCCAGTAATGGTTTGATTTTCTTCCTTGTTATTGCTTTCACAATCAGAAACAGCTTAAAACCAGCACTTGACCTGACACAGCTAGAGCTCCTGAATATAAAGCAACTTTATATTCTTCCAAATTTGAGAATTTTTTCCTACATTCAACAGCTTCACTAACACAGTTCTCATAGAGCTCAAACAAAAGCTTAGCTGAATTATTCACTTTACTCCCAGGAGAGTAGAAACCTTGTATTTGCTAATGGCTAAATAAAAGACACAATGCAATTGGCAGAGATGCAGAAACTTTTATAGCTTGCCAGAAAAGGCACAGAGAGAAAAATGGAACAAGGAAAACATATAGATTATGGAATTATGGAATTATGTCAATCCATTAGATTAAATCTTAATGCTTGTTATATTTGTGTAAATCAATTAATACATTAAAATTTTGGATATGATAACAGAACTTGTTTTTTGTCTTCTGTTAAAATTGTGTCTGTTTCAGTATAAATTACACTTACTTTAACACCTTCATTTGGGTTTTTCAAAGGAAGTTGAATTAATTTGGTGCAAAATATAATCAGGCATCTGTTAGAATAATGCCAGTCTTTGTTATTTATTTTCAGTCCCTTTGTGCAGGAGCAAATAACTGCTCGAGTGGTGAAGAGTGAAGTTCCTAGGTACTTACGTGAGCTGTTATGACATTTGATGCACAAAGAAGAGACAGTACAATTGGATTTATGAAGGATTTATGAATCCAAGGGCCAGAC